GGAAGCGAGACCATGTGGATGTTATTTTCTTTGCAGAAATTGTATGCTGCAATTGAGATATGGCTAGCATGATTGTCTAGGACCAGAAGGACCGGATCAGTAAGAGTAGGCTTAGCATGCTTCTGGAAATGGCCCAGCCACTCAAGAAAAAGTTCGGAATTAATCCAACCATTCTTAGAACACTTATATAATGCCCCAATTGGTCCATTTTTTTCCAGAGTTTGGGCATCCTTTTCCTTGGATAAATCATCATAGGTGGAATGTAATGTCCAGCAGCATTCATTGAAAAAACAGCTGTGATTGTCCTTCCTCTTTCGCCGGAAATTGCAGCCCCTATTTTTTTAGGTTCTTTGCGGCCATACACTTTAGGACACTTGTTTTGCACCGTGGTAATGCCTCTCTCATCCATATTGTGGACACTCTTGGCTTCAAATTTAAACATTTCCATGACAATTTGAAGGTTTGAAAAAAAAAAATTTGATTGAGTCTTTATTAAAAGATGCAATCCTATTCAAGCTAGTTCCTTCAGGCTGTCGTAACTTTATTTCAGGTGATCTTAAAAATCCATAAAGCCAGTCTTTCCCAGCCAATCCCTTATTCTTGTCAAATTTATGAACAATGTTATATTGCTCAGCATACCTAAAAGCTATTCGTCTAAGACTCCTGGGTGTTAGGCCATAAAACAGCGTTGCTAGTGTTACAACGTATTCTCTTAACTCGGATTCTACTTGTTCTGAAAACACAGGCTTGCAGCCTAAACGAAGTGGTTTAGGATCGTTTTCTAACAATTTTTTCTAACTAGTGTTGACTCGGGAATTTTGAAGGCCCTTAACCAAACCAACTATATCATTAATATCATTAACTAGATAATTTTAAGTTATTATTGAATATGAAGTATCCACTGTTTAATTTTCAATTCTTGACTTAAATCTTAATAATATTCTACATTATACAGGTGCCAAAAATGATGGAGGTTATTTCCAACAAAAAAAGTCCTATAGACATACATAATATGTCCGATTCCTTACCGTTTCTGAGTTATTGCTATTTTTGTAATTTTTATGATATTCTCACATCTCTTCACAATTTTCTTTTCAAAAATGTTCTGTTGATATTTTTTTCTGTTAAAATTTTAATAGTGTAAACGGGATCGAAAAAGACAAAGAAATAAAATATCAAGCTCTAGTCAGAACGAAAGTATATTCAATACTTTCGCTTTTCGGGACGCTTATCTCAACGTCGGCCGAAAAGTAAAACAAACGTGAATCGCCAAAGAATTTCTAACATAAACAAATACTTCAAGGCCGACACTTAGGGTTGTTCCAATCGTCGCGTCTGGGCCTCCGTCTCACTCTCGTTTTTCACATTCGACCAAACCTGACTTCCTTCGCGCCCCGGGAAGCACCTTTTGTAAATCTGAAACATATAACAAACAAATTAAAATTAAGAAGCTAAAATAACGTATTAATTATGTGTCGCTTTCAGACTCATTTGAACTCACAATCATCTCGTAAGCCTTAAGCTTATCAGAGGGACATATCCCTTTATATGACCTTTGGCAGCGTTCTGCACCTGTGATATCTTCAACCACATATCTATCGTTTGATAACACTGCCGTCACAGGGAAGGGCCCTTGATATTGTGGTTCAAGTTTCTTACTTTGTCCATCGTTTGAGCACTTTGCTCGTTGGACGAGGACCTGTTGTCCTACAGAGAATGTTTTCTCTTTTGCATGCCGTCTGTCATAATATTCTTTTTGAGTCGACTGTTTTTCTCGTATTCGTTCAGCCACCTCGGTACGTATTACCGCATGGTTAAGAGGCTGATTCTCGGAAATTTCCGACGTTAGAAATGCGTCAGCAACTCCTCTCGGCTGATAACCGAAGAACACCTCATAAGGCGTTTTTCCAGTTACCGAACTCTTTGTAGAGTTGATTCCCCATTTCACTTTACTCAGTTCACGATCCCAGCGTTGATCGTCATCTACACTGGCCGCAAGTGCTGAAAGAATAACTCTGTTCATTCGTTCCACCTGTCCGTTGGCTCGTGGAGTCGCCGTCGCACAGAGTACTCCTTTAATACCTAATTCTGAACAAAACGTAACAATAAACTGACTAGTAAATGCAGTACCGCGGTCAGTAGTAAACCTTCGTGGTACCCCAATAATTTCAATAATTTCCTCAAGAAATTTAATCACTGGTGCAGTCTTCGTGTTTGGTACAGCTTTAAGAAAAGTGAATTTTGTAAAAGCATCAACAGCTACGATTAGGTAACTATTGCCACGTTTACTTTTTACAAAAGGTCCTAGATGGTCTAAATGGAGTGTATCCATTGGTATCTCTTTCTTCTCAATACAGTGGAGAGTTCCAGGTACTTTACCTGCAGGTTTCTTATTATACATACAACTTAAACAGGCTGCGATATAGTTTTTAATGTAATTTCGCATCGCAGAAAACCAATAAGTTTTGGACACTGCTTCCAGAGTTTTGTCTACTGCAAAATGTCCTTTAGCGTCATGATAATAAAACAGGATACTTCTTCTAGCTGACTTCGGTACCATCCACCTTAAACCTTGTGTACTCTATTGTCCTTAAGCTCATATTCTTTATGAACACGCCTATCATTTTTGTCTATTGGCACACGTGATAAAATCTGATGAATTTCTTTACAGGGCTTGTCATTTAGTTGAGCTGCTAAAACCCAATCAGAGTCGGATAAATTAATGTGAAGAAGATCGACGATGTACAGTTTGATCGACATTGGTTGATACCGGGTTTCTACTAAGTGCGTCCACATGATTCATTTTAGCTCCCGACCTGTATTCAATAGAAAAATTAAACTCTTGTGTAATGAGCCACCAGCGTCCAATTCGAGGAATTAAATCTCGTTTAGTTAATGTTGATCTAAGTGCGTTGCAATCGGTTACGATTTTAAATTCAATTCCTATGAGATATACACGAAACTTTTTCATACTGCAAACGAAAGCCAATGTTTCTAACTCATACGAGTGGTAAACTTGTTCCTGTTTTGTTGTTGCTCGACTGAAGTACTGTACGGTTTTAATTCTCCATTTGTTTGTCGTTGTAATAATATTCCTCCAATACCTAGTTTACTGGCGTCTGTGTGAATCTCTGTAGCGGCGTTTCTATCGGAAATAGCTAGAGCAGGGCGAGTTGTAATGTGATTAATTAAACGAGACATTTTTCTTTGTTATATCAGTTTAATTCTTTTATGTACTTACGGAAATAACTGGCAAGGCCTAGAAATTGTCGAAGTGAATGCACACTTGGCGGTATCGGAAAACCACTGACACATTTTATCTTTTCAGATCCAGGTTTTATACCTTCACCAGAGATTTCATGTCCTAGATAACTGATTTGTGTTAAAAGAAACCGACATTTATCAAAACGTAACGTCATATTGGCATCACGTAAAAGCTCTAGAACGTTTTCTAAATTTCGAAGTCCAGTTTTTATATCTCGCGACGGTATTAAGATATCATCTAGGTATGCCATTTCCGTAGTATAACGTAAATAACCTAAAATTCGATGGATTGCCCTTTGAAATACTGCATTCACTAATCCAAATGGCATAGACAGATACTCGTAGTGGCTGTCTGGCGTTACGAAAGCAGTTTTCTCAATAGAATCTTTGGCAACTGGAACTTGATGATATCCAGACGCTAGCTCTAAACTACTAAAATAGTGAGCACTTTTAAGTCCATCTAAAAGATCATCAATCCTTGGTAAAGGGTATTTGTCTTTAATGTTCTTGGCGTTCAAGGCACGATAGTCAACGCACATGCGCGTTTCACCATTCTTTTTACGGACTAACAAGATAGGACTGGCGTACGGGGATGAAGATTCTCTTATTATGTTATTGTCGAGGAGATCGTCTACTATGTTTCTGACTTGTTCTCGCTCGGAGAAGGACAAACGGTAGGGTCTATAAGTGACGGGCGTTTTGTCATTTAAGGCAATAGTAATTTGAGCTATATTTGTTCTACCCAACTCAGATGTTTTTGTAGCAAAACAGTCTCTGTATTTGTTAATCAAGGCCAGAAGTTGATCTTTTTCTTGCGGGTTAACGGCGGACCCGGTGACTATGTTCAAGCTTTTCAAGGAAAATTGTTCTAGAGGCTTTTGATTAATGGAACAGACATTGATTTCAGATAGCTTGTTTTCTGGACTACAAAGCAAACCACGTGCTACTACACGTCCTTTTTCATAAGTGACAGGATTATCTGACGTATTCAGAAGTGGTATTACACTATTTTTCGAAAGATCAATAATGCAGGGAGGAATAATATGAAATTTATCGGGCCATGTCCTTTGTTGCAAATCGATAAATACCTCCTTAACATTTTCATTAGAATAGAGAGAAATATGACCAATGTGATTAAGTGGTATCACTGTAGCTTCCCTTGCCCACAGAGTAATTTTACGTGGCGGTAAATGGTCAAAGTCAGCAAGAGACATTTTGTTACAGTTAAAAAGTCTCACTTGGCCGCCTTGTATTACCATAATAACATCTGGATTATTAATAAAAGGTTGCCCAACAATTATAGAAACCTCTTGTACATGATCCGGTACAATAAAAGCTTCAACTTTTGCTTTAACCAAATCGACATATAAATTTACAATCACAGAACCACCTGCAAATCCGTTCAGACGTTTCTGTACAGAATGCAGCTGTAAACCCAAAGAAATTGCATCAGACTCACGTATAGTAACAGCATTGCTACCGGAATCAACGTAGCCTCGTAAAATATTTTTATTTATACTACAATCAATAAAATAGCAGATATTATTGTCATCTTTATCATGTTTACTATCTACTCTTAGAATATGTTTTGGCTTACCTGGTGTAGTGAAGTTACTTTTCTGACAGTGTTTTTCATCGTGTCCCAAGAGCTTGCACTTCTTACACTCTAGTCGGGGCTTAAACACTTCGACACAATGTGACCTCGTTGACAGCAATTGAAACATTTTGTTTCATATCTAGCTTTCCGCTGATTTTTCGTGAAATTCGATAAATATGAGCATTCTTTGCATTTCATAGACGACTTTTCTATATGTATTTAGCTGTTCAATCATGCTTTCTAATTTTCTAATTCTGTCCTGCGTAGATTCTGTATTGTTAGTATCAACAGGCGAAAAATTACCAGAACATGTAGGCGTTGTCGATCGGTCATTGTCTTGCCTTACTATAACAACTTGAGATTCGAGGCGCTTTTCTGGTATCTTCTTATGAAAATTAGATTCTGGACGTTTCCTTGAATCTAACGTACCTTTACTACATTCGCGAGTACGTTTTCTTAAATCACGCACCTTCGAAGGAGAACGTCTCGATTTTGATTGATTGCCTTTAAGACTATCACGTGATTTGGAACATTTTCGTAAATCTCGTGAGTCCTGTTTTCGAGATTTCTTATTTCGATAGCGCTCGACATCACTATCTCTATTTTCCGAACTCGACGAATTATTATAACTACAATCACTACTACTTGAGGTATCAGAACGTCTTCTTTTACCCATAATTATTTTACAATATTTACATACACAATAAAACACAAAATTCCACTAATAAAATACAGTTAATTAAGATAAAATAAATAGCGAGAACGGCACGTAAATTACCCCACACCTAAACTGTAAACGGGATCGTCGAAAAAGACAAAGAAATAAAATATCAAGCTCTAGTCAGAACGAAAGTATATTCAATACTGTCGCTTTTCGGGACGCTTATCTCAACGTCGGCCGAAAAGCAAAACAAACGTGAATGCCAAAGAATTTCTAACATAACACGGCCACAGAGAAAGCGCTTTTTGCGTTTTTAGCGTGAAGCGTTTTTAGCGACTAAATCAAAATAACAGGATTATATAGGAGTGGCCACACCAAAAGCGTGTAACGTTCGGCGTGTCTCGCAAAAAACGCAAATGAAAACAAATCAGTTTGTTTTCTGTAGCATCTTTAGCGTTTTCTACGATGAGACCCCGTCATAGGCGGACGTTGTATTTAATAATACAATAAAAATAAATTAAATAGTAGGCATTTTTTTTTCATTTTAGGGTATTATCTAAAAATATTTTTATAAAGAACATCTACTGTTTAGAAAGATTCTATTAAATTCAAAAATTTGAAGGAAATGTTTGAAAAAGTGTAGTTTGAAATGTTGAAAAAGTAATAAATTAAAGGAATATTTTCTTAGGCGTAAAAAATATTTTTAATGCTTAAAAAGTGTTTTCTTTCTGCGTAAAAAAGTTTTTTTAACAGAAACATTAGTTTTTGACGCATAAAAAATAATTTTTTACGTGTAACAAATAGTTTTTTACACGTAAAAAATATTTTTTTTTGCGTAACAAAAGTTTTTTACCAGAAACAATAATTTTTTCACGCGTAAAAAAATAATTTTTTACGTGTAACAAATAATTTTTGACACGTAAAAAAAATTTTTTTTTGGTGAAAAAGTCTTTTTACCAGAAACAATAAGTTTTTGACGCGTAAAAATTAGTTTTACGTGTTACAAATAATTTTTTACACGTAAAAAATATTTTTTTATTTGCGTAACAAAAGTTTTTTTCCAGAAACAATAAGTTTTTGAAGCGTAAAAATTAGTTTTTTACGTGTAACAAATACTTTTTACACGTAAAAATTATTTTTTTTGCGTAAGAAAGTTTTTCTACCAGATACAGTAAGTTTTTGTTTAAATGTTTTTTACGTGTAACAAATAGATTTTTACACGTAACAAATAGTTTTATACGCGTAAAAAATAGTTATCTACCAGTAACAAATAGTTTTATACGTGTAAAAAAAAGTTTTTTACATGTAACAGTTTTATTCGCGTAAAATAAAAAAATTAGTTTTTTACGTGTAACAAATGTTTTTTTACACGTAATAATTAGATTCACTTTTACAAAATGTGTATTAAAATATCAATATTTTTGATAAACACGTGGACTGCTCACAAATACACGTTGCGTCACTACGTATTTCTAAGCCGTTAACACGTTTCGTTACAACGAGCTCGTGTGTCAGGGCCGTCTCACTAGCTCGTATGTCACGGCCTTGAACTTTTACTCCCAGCGCGCGTAAAGAAGTTTCACTCCAAAATGTTTCATAAATCATGTCCTAAAATTGCATTAGCAACTATTAATAATTACTATTCTATTTAATTCTATTATATAATTATAATTATTATATTATATTATAATTATTATAACAAGTACTAACCAAAACACTACATCATAAAAAAAATATACACATACATATAAACTAAAATTCGTAAAATAAATGGCAAATAATAATTATTACTTTTACACACACCACTGGCACTAGCAGTAGATTGTGTTTGTCTCCGAATATATGGCCCCGGCCCGTCCACAATTCAATCCCAGCATCTTTTATCTTCGTCTCTTCAACGCTAACGGCGCCGATCTCGCCTTTCTCTTTCTCACAGGATTGATTGTTGGACGGGCCGGGAATCCACGAGCTCGTTACTAATTGACTTCTTGATAGAAACTGCAGACCTGCCGCGTCTTTTGCGTGTTTTTAATGGACACAAATCGAAAAAAGCGCTTAAAACGGTAAAATCGCAAAAGTGCTTGAGACGCAAAAAACGTAAAACGCTAAAAACGCTTTCTGTGTGGCCGTGGGCTTATGGTTGTTCCAATCGTCGCGTCTGGTCCTCCGTCTCACTCTCGTTTTTCACAATAGCATCCCTATAAAGGCTTCTTTGTTGTACAGCGCATTTTTTTATTGTGCGTGCTGATTACGCAGCCTTCTGTCATTTTTAAGCACATTTTTAGGATTTTAATTGAAAAACTTTAATGTTGGTGGTAATTTTTCAGGAAAAATACTCAATTTAAAGGTGTCCCATAATATAAAAAACTACGGTCAGGTATTCTTTTTTAAATAGGGTACTTTTTAAAAATAATCAAATAATTGTTATTGCTGAAATTTGTTAAACATAATTGTAATGTCAAAAAAGTGAATTTAAATAAATACATAATGTTGATTAAAGTGTCATTCAGAACCTTGCAATTAGTGGAATAAATTAGTGGTTTCAATTACACTTTATACTTTTTAGTTCACGATAATTCACAATGTTAAGAAATACAATTAAAATTAATAGAATATCATAGCAACAACTTGCGTTAGTCAGTTGTATCCATAGAGAAAGTCTAATATTTAGCTTATAAAACAATCAATTTTTGATTTCTAACCACAATTTCTATTGACGGAAGATAATCAAAGGCCAAAATGACATTTCTGGCAAATTTTGAAGTATAATTAGTGGAAAAGTTAAGTTTGATAACTATTTCTACTAGTTGAAAATGTCTACCACTAATTTTGACGTTCTGAATGCTTACATTGAAATTAAAGAACAAATTTCTAGGCTAATTGAAACCACTAATTTATTCCACTAATTACCAGGTTCCGAATGAAGCTTAATATCAGAAAAATTTAACCCTACCTCCTATTACAATTTGATCCACCATTTTTGGGACACCATGTATACCCTTCGTAAATTGATGTATGTATTAATTATTTTGAGGTGCCCGGTGGCGCACACAGGTGAATTTGAACAAAAAGTTGGCCAAAATTATCAGAAGTCGAAATATTTTTTATCAATCATGCATTTTTAAAATGGCATTTTTACTATTTATTAATTTAAGTTAGGCTACTTTCATGCAAACTAATTAGTACATCACGAAGTACTATACACAGCCGTATTATTGTGTGATTGACGAGACCTTAAAGAGGAATCTCCGCCAAACTGTCAGTTATTTTCAGGTTGTCAGGATAGCACCGCTTTTTGCCGCAATTACATTTTCATAATTAGGATATAGAGAACAATTTTCTTCGAGAGCATTACCTCTGATAATGTTGTATTGGAACTTAGTAAGCCTAGCATCTGTAATTAACGAAAGGGCTTTGTCTTCTGTAAACTTAGCAACGTTAAGCTCGTCTCGTTTTACACAATTTTTATGGATTCCGGACCACTTTTAACAATTTCAGATAAAACTTTAGCAGCTTGAACATTGCCTTCAGACCTGAGCTTCATTTGGGCGGCATATGTCAACTCTATTAATCCATTATTATTTCTTAAATCTTGTGTTTTTCGTCGTTTTGACCGATCACTACAATTTTTAAAGTCTGTTTTTGGTCTTCCTGAAGTAGATAGAACTTCGACATTTGGCTTGTCCAGAAAAATGAATATACAGGGTGGCCCATCGAAAACGTTCCGCAAGGCAAAATGGCCAGGGTAATTTTTTCTTCACAAAATCCAAAAACACGTCAATTTTATTTGTAAAGGGGACAACTTTTGCCCCAAAATTGATTGCAAAATCTTCAACCCTCTAAGCGGAGGTGCCATCCACCAATTTTTTTTCAAATGGGAAGGGGGTCAAGTGGTACCGCAGTGAAAAGGACTTTCTATTCTCCATAGATTCCCGCTTCGTTTTTGAAAATCGGTCGAGTCATTGAGAATATATGAAGGACTGAAATTTGAAAAGTTTATTTAAACATTTACCAGAGTAAATGATAAGGATAAATTCTTCGACCAATTTGCTGTTTTTTCTTATTATTTCTAGATGTTTTTACGCATTTTTTCACTTGCCACAAGGTTGAACGATCAGGTGCGGTATAGTTGCTAGATGTGCAACTATGCGTTGAAGTTCTTCTCAATATCGTTAAACTTTTTAACAATTATGCAGAAAAAGTGGAAATAATCGAACTTTATTTTAAAAATAATGAATGTGGCAATCGGGTTGCGCAGATATTCAATGAACGCCATCCTGACAAACAACTTTATGGCAAAATTGTTCACGAGTTAGTAGAAAAATTTCGAGAAACTGGTTCCGTTATGAATAAAAATAGACAGGGAATATCCTGTAGTAAATGAAGCTATGGAGGTATTCGTATTGGACCAAGTTGTCATGGATAGTACGCTGAATACAAGAAAGTTCCACCCGTACAGAATTCAGTTGGCACAAGAACTCAACGAAGATGATTTTGATCGTCGCTTGCAATTTTGTGAAACTATGAGTGAACGAGTGGCGAATGATAATAATTTCCTATTTAATGTGTGTTTTTTCGGATGAGTGTACTTTCTGTTTGAACGATGTCGTTAATCGGCACAACTGTCGGTACTGGGCTGAGGACAACCCCAGGGTTTCTCACGAGGTGCACACACAAAACCCTCAGAAATTGAACGTGTTGGCTGGTATTTTTGGAAATTCTATTGTGGGTCAGTTTAACGATATTGAGAAGAACTTCAACGCACAAGTCACAGAACAGCTATCTAGCAACTACCGCACCTGATCGTTCAACCTTGTGGCAAGTGAAAAAATGCGCAAACATCTAGAAATAATAAGAAAAAACCTCAAACTGGTCGAAGGAATTTATCCTTATCATTTACTCTGATAAATGTTTAAATAAACTTTTCAAATTTCAATCCTTCATATTTTCTCAATGACTTCACCGATTTTCAAAAACGAGGTGGGGAAATATAGAGAATAGAAAGCTCGCAGTGAATAGAAGCATTGCAGTGCCACTTGACCTCCCTTCCCATTTGAAAAAAGTTGGGGGATGACAGCCCTGCTTAGAGGGTTGAAGATTTTGCAATCATTTTTGGGGCAAAAGTTGTCCCCCTCACAAACAAAATTGACGTGTTTTTGGATTTTTTGAAAACAAAAATACCTTGACCGTTATGCCTTGCGGAACGTTTTCGATGGGCCACCCTGTATGTATCCAGCCATTTTTTATACTTATTTTCAAATCTTGTATTATTTCTAAAACACTTCTTTTTACAGTCATAAACAAATTTAGATACCTCTTACGTTTAATATTATTTGGAAATTCTTCTTCACAATGTGTCCTTTCTCTAACTTTTAAAACTAGGTATTCAAATGGAGACTCACAGCTTTCAGATTGTCTATTTTTGTAAAAATCAGCCATTTCTCGCCGGCTAGTAGGTACATTTTGCTGCGTACTCGTACTGTCTAAAAAATACAACCAAGCCTCATTTGCTGTGCACTTTTTTGGGTTTTATACTTGTATAGGGTGGTCCAATAATAGAGGAACGGTTAATAACAGAACTTAAAGAAAAACATATTTGTAGGTAAATAGACCAAGAGAAATCGCTATAAATTATTTTCAAGTTCGAAAGTTGGCCGCTAGGGGGCGTAATAGCAATACAAAAGTAAAAATGGCAATTTTCTCCTAAATTTCCCTAATTGAGGTATGTTGAAAGTATAAGCATTTTATTCTTCAACCGCGCTACCTTATTACGTTCCCACCAATAACTTTTTATTATTTATTTTTGTATTTCAATAAAGAGCAGGTGGTCGCAGCCAAATCTAGAATTATTTGAAAGCTATTGATATAGGCTTTCAAAATATACTCGATAGACCGATTGATATTGATGGATTTAGTACTTTTGCACTTTTTCAATTTTTTTTTTTGAGGAGAGGAAAAATCTTTTTGTTCAGGTTCTCTTTGATGTTCATGACAGATAGTGTGGGATTTCCACCCACTAAAAAACCTCATCCTTTTCTTCACTACATGTTGGAACTACCGGTAAGTATTACTTCAGCATGCAGCGCTGTCTTCTATTTAATCCTTCTGTCTTCTCTTCAGGTCTGCCTCTTTTGTTTCTAATATCTCGTTTGCCATATCGGATACAGAATGCATACAACTCTTGACTTTAACATTTGTTCTATTATATTGTTCGGGTCTAATTTCAGTCCCACTTCGTACTCGAGTTTCCTTCGCTCTCCTATACAACGGGGACACGAGAAAAAAGTATGCTCTACATCATCTTGTGTGTTTTCGTAATAGTGACAGCTTGGTGATTCTCCTATTTTAAACCTATAGTGGTATGACATGAAACAGCCATGGCCGCTTATCAGTTGTGTTAAGAAGAAATTCAGGTTACCGTGCCTTCTATTAACCCAAGGTCGAATATCTGGGATCAGTCTTCTTGTCCAGGTTCCAACACTACTCGTTTCCATCCATCTTTCTTGCCAAAAATCTAGGGTGCGATGTTTTTCTAATATTTTTACTGTTCGCTCAGCTTTATATGTGCGACTCCTCTCCCCTGCCTGTAGATCTATGGGTACCACGCCTGCAATCACTAGTAGACTCTCTGTAGACACCGTACGAAAAGCACAACATATTCTTATAGCCAGCTTCCTTTGTATTTTCGTAAACATATTTTTGTATTTTTTTTACCTTTAGGACTTCATGCAATATTGGTGCTGCGTATAACATAATTGAATGTGTTACCGCACTTAGCATTTGTCGTTTCACTGATGATGGTCCATTTAGATTCGGCATTAACCAACTTAAAGCCTTCGCAGATTTTTCAGCTTTTACGCATGTGTTGATTATGTGTTTCTTCATAAAAGCCCCTTGATCAATAAACACTCCCAGGTATTTTATTTCCGGCTTTGTAAATATTTCGGTTTCAAGGACGTTAATGGAAATCTGACGCATTACTCTTTTATTAGACAATATTACCGCCTCTGTTTTTTCTGGTGCTATTTTTAGTTTTAAATTCCTCATACATTTTACAATCCTATGTATAGCAGTATTTGCTGTCGTTACTATAACTGCCTCTGAGTCTGCGGTTACCACAATTGCCAAATCATCAGCATAGCCAACAAGTAATACATTCGGTGGCATCTCTAATCGAAGCACCTCGTCATAATAGATGTTCCATAACAATGGTCCGAGGACAGAGCCTTGTGGTACTCCACACGATATATCCATTGTAATATTTTGACATATATGCAGTTCCTTCTCAGTGAAGTAGCTAGTTATCATTCGGATTAGATACGGTGAAATGTTCTTTTTTTTAAGAGCTTTTACAATGCCTTCCCATGGCGCCGAATTAAATACATTCTTAAGATCTAGAGTTACAAGAAGACATTGTTTTCTATTTTGGGGTGCAAAAGCCTTGGCTCTTTTGGCTTCTTGTAACACACTCGATATAGCGTCAATTGTCGAAGATCCTTTTGTAAACCCGTACTGGGTTTTAGCTAGTCCCCCTTTTTGGTTTAGCTCCTCATTTATGCGATCTTTTAATAAATGCTCTAATAGTTTCCCCATGCAGTCAAGTAGGCAAAGCGGTCTACAACTCGGAGCTTGCTGTTCTGATTTACTCGGCTTCTCTAAGAGTACTAGTCTGGCTCTTTTCCAAACACTAGGAAACTCCCCGATAAGCAATTGTTGGTTCATTAACAATAAGCAATCGCCTGGAAAATTTTCTGCTATATAACGTCAGCTCCGGTGGTATCTGATCAGGCCCAGGTGCTTTTTTCGTTTTGATTCTCATGGCCGCATTTTTGAGTTCTTCTTTAGTAAACATTGGTATGTCTTGTTGTTGGATAGATATGTTTTCCCAGTTTGGTTTCTCTGATTTTGGAAATAATTTATGGGCTTCCTCTATTCTGATTTTTTCAGAGAGATGCATAGGTGGCCTTAGTTTGAATGATTTTGCTACTATTTTATAACCATTCCCCATATATCGTTTTCAACTTCTTCCAGCACTTTTATCCATGCACTTTCGCCTTCTCTATAGCCTTTTTAAGTTCAGATCTTTTTTCTTTATACTGATCTCTTGCATAATTCTTTTCCTCCTCTGGTTAAGCAGTTCCGCGGACTTTTATGGCTTACAACGAGTTATTTACCATCAAAAGGGATTCTCCAGGTATTTATTCCTGATATAATACAGCTCCTAGTTTTTAACACCAATTTTTAATACCTTTAGAATGGCACATATGTATCCTGACTGTGTGGGCGAAGTAGATGTTGTTTCCGATGCAGAAAACATTAAAAATCTACTAAAAATACCTTACCACAAGGGTCACATAAGTATGATGGTACACAGAGTAGAAAATACATTGCTTTTGGATGATTTTGATATTTATAAACACCTTTTAAAAACATCTGAAACTGAGTGGGAATGGCTAAAGAAATTCTTCTTTGAGAACATAGATAGAGAAACATATGAGCAAGATAAGCATTTATATATAAAGAGTCGAACGCAGAAGGCTTTAAAAGAGAAAAGTTTAGTGTCAAAGTTCTTGTATTATAGTCTTGTAGAAGGTGATAACGATTCTGAAGAAAACCAGAGTCCTCTTAGACCCTATCACTCACAGAATAGTGAGACTTCTATTCAGACTCCCTCTTTACCAGACCCATCGCCAAGCACCGAGTGTCCTGACTCACATCCATTTGAGTTTAATAGGATGTTGTGTGGACTTTTGAGGATATTGAGATGCTTTTGGGGACTGATATGCCTATTTTTGGTGGAGGCACGCATCCTTGTATATCTTTAAGACTGAGAGACATGAGTAAACCAATTTCTGTGCTCACGGGAATCGATTATTGGTTAGATAACTTGATGTCTAACGTTCCTGAGGTTGTGATGTGCTACCATATCAATGGTATTGTACAAAAATATGAATTAATTAAAACTGAAGATTTACCAAGGTAAACATTAAGTAATGTTATGTTTATTTTTAAAACCGGCTATTTTTAGGTTGGATAATTCAAAGTTTTCTCCAAAATTCATCAGAGATGTTGCTCAGAGTATATTGTCTTTTTTAAAATCGAATGCTACAAAGGCTGGGCATACTTATTGGCTTCTTAAGGGCAAAGATGAGGAGGTGGTTAAATTGTATGATCTAACTTCATTATGCTCAGAAGAAGATGTACAAAAAGGCCAAAATCCTTTTACCATTCCTGTAGCTATGCTTCTTTATAGAGTGGGTAGAAATATGAAAAATTTACCTGATAGGTTTGTAAAAAAGGTATTTTTTTGAATAAAACAGTTAATGTTAGTATATTTAAAGGAGACCACAACCAGGAATGATCAGAATGCTTCTAAAAAACGTCATCAAGCTTTTGCCAGAAGAAAAATATCCAGAAACAATAACCTCGTCGCATTATATGCTCTCAGCGGCGCGCAACAAAGCATCGATGTCTCACTCATATTCTATAAATTCTTCAATAAGTAATTGATAATTTACGACTTGGCAGCTATAAATATTGTTCAAAACATCGAAAATGCTGAGAAGAGTCTTCAACACTTCCCTCGTATAATAAGAATAATGACATATCCATAGAAAAATAGCTTGACATAACTCAACAATAGGTTATGAAATTCACGTAACATTGACATTTTTCATTGTTACATCCGTCAGTTATCAACTTTTGCTATCGACTATTACCTACATTATAAATTGTTATGTTGCCAATATGTGCTCAACGCGTATCCAGAACACGAGAATACCAAAATCGACTGCCTTGCGTTTCGCTGATCGAATACTGGCGCTCACCGCTTTGAAAGCGTAATGTTTTATGTCAAAGTTACAGAATACAGGCCCTGGGCTGCCCGCGGCTACGCGCTAAGGTCGTTGTGCAATCTGGACGCTCAATTGAGCTCTTACCTTCAGAATTGGAATTCATTGTAATATTGCACACAGTTTTAACAAAAATTACAACAGAGCCAGTTTTATCAGCACTAAATGCGATAATAATTTGCTACTGACAGATAAATGCTCAACTTGACATTTAAATCCTGCGCATAACGGCGATTTCGCCAGGTTTATAATAATTGCAACAGATAGCGCCATATGTTGTGTCAATAAATAAGGTCACTAGACATTAGAGTGTGTGAATTTTTAAGTTGCCATTTTGGTCAACTTTTTGGTCAAATTCATCTGTGTGTGGCGTAGACGTACTCTCGTCTCCCAATCTAATGGTTGTGGTGTCTAATCCTACAGCCGGCATTTCATCAGCCGACTATTTTTAATAAAATAAAAATAGTTTGGGTACCTAGGTCGACTCAGCCTTAAATGAGTACTTGGGATTCACAATCCTGAGCTAATAATAGGCGGTTGAAGCGTAGTGCCAGCCACTTTACCTTCCTTGTTTACCGAACGGCTCTAGCATGGCAAGCTGTACCTTTCTACTCCCAAGGCGTTAAACGCTATATACAGGAGCTTATTATTATTATTAATATTAATTATTTTAACGTTTTAGTTTGGATTGCTTTCTTCATGCCTTCTGCTAATAAAACCACGCCTTCTGAAAATATTGCATCTGTTGGAAGAATTACGTCAGCAAATAAAATATCTAACGCCAGCAGCGAAACATTATTTGAAACGTGGGCAAATTTTTCATATACTGTTATGGATTGGGTTTTTTTACATGTCCTTTACAAATATAATATGGCATTTCAAATGTAAGTTAAAAAAATAGGTTTTAGTGCAAATTTTGTAAAAAGTATATACAGGGTGTCCCAGAATGAAGTGCAAGTATTTTAAGGGGTGGTAGACCTGGTCAAAAGAAACATTTTTTATCTTTACTATTTTTCAAATAAGTCCAAAGTAACCGACTTATTTTACTTTGAAAATTAAAAAAAAATGCTTTTTTGCTTAAATTTTAAGAACCACCGGATCTTACCTGGATTTTCTTTCATGTAAATTTAATCTACTGCCCGTGCTGCCATATTATCAAGAACTTATGTTTTTTAACTTAAAACTAAAAAAAATTCTAAAATTTTTTTCAAAAAATTCCAAATTTTCAAATTTTTTTTTCCGCAAAAAAACCTCATAGGCGTGTTTCTTAGACCGAAATAGATTACCAGTTAAAATACTTGCAGTTATTTCTAGAACACCCTGTATAAAAGTATATATTAAGTATATAAGTATATATAAAGTATTGAGGCATGTTTGATATTAAAACACTTTCAAGTCCCATATTATGCGCTCATGTGTCGCTTTGATGCGCCCATGCACGTGTAGTGAGTGAGTATGATGTGGTTTGTTGATACGATTCGTTAGTTGCTTTGGAAATTCTTCCATTGTCTTTGTGTGATATTTCTTTTGATGGTTCGCCTAAAAACCGACATTCCGCTTTATCGGAGTACAAATCATCGCATTGACGCATAGGCGCACTAAATCGAAGTACTGACAAACCGCATCAGCGAATAGTGAGTATGGAGCTTCAGTCGATCGCTACAAAATGATCAAAAACTATTTTTTTACGCCACAATCCACGGGTATTTGTAATCTACCGAGACAAATATGTTAAAGCTTTTATTACATGAATATAAATATGCGAATCAATAAAAAAATAACGGTTGTTATGTAGTAAAATAATTACCAACGTTAGAAATTGAAATAAATGAAATTTAATGAATATATCGGCTAAAAATGAGTAATATCTTTTCAACATATAGATAAAATAAAATTTCTTGGTTTTTCTTCTATTTTGAAAAATTTTCTTCAATAAACTGGAATTTTCTTGAAAACTAAATTTCAATTTTTTCTGCCATGTTGATGCATTTTTGATTGGACAATAGAATTGAATTTTACTCACGTGCTAATTTTGACAGTTTGATAAATATCATTGTTGGATTTTTTTAAATAACATATTTTGGCCTTGATGACATAAAACAAAGCAAATGTAGATAAACTAATTCATAATTTGTCTTTCCTAGAAATGGGTTATAAAAACTGAAAATGTAATGTGTAATATTCAGAATAAACTACCTAATTGCCAAAGTCCTTTGAAGAGAAAAAAAACAATATATTTTAAACAATTGTAAGTGATTTGAAACTCAGATTTTAGAGATAAAAAATATCAATTAGGTAAAGATTTTCGTTTCTATTAGTAAGAGAGGTAGCAACGTCGGAAAAACAAGTATCTTAGGACGTCTGGCTCTTTCATTTTTCTTTTACTATGCACTGTAGAACAGCATGCAGCCCGTCTGGCTGCCGGTAAACTTTGCGTTCCCTACTGTGCATTCCAAAAAGGTGCCACATATGGGGTGTTGCTATTTAAGATTTTCAAGTGAGTAGGGTTGCCGCCTAAGGGGTAGGTCGGGGTGGTTCAAAAAATACGTCATATATATTCCCCCTTGATATTTTAAAAACGGTATTTTTTATATTTTTGATATCTTTTTTGGTTTAAGAATTATAGCCATTGTAAGTTTTCAGTGGCCCACCCTGTATATATGTGTTCTAAAAACAACCTGTATAAGATTTTTTTAATTACACTAGATATAAATTTTCACCACCGCACTAAACTATCTACTGTCCATTGTGATAACCCCGCCCGGGTCGACAGTATGTAAACAAGTCCTTTTTTACAGAACGGGCGAACGTTTGCCCAATTTTATTGAATAAAAAAATTATAACAACATAATATTAAAAAAAAATTATGATAAATTCTAGAATTCACAAATACGATACTTTCACGAGGATTCAAACGTGAGTCTTGTTAAAGGGTCAGTCAACGTTATCTAGTTTTTAACATTACAGAATTCAAGTATGGCTAAAATTCAACTTTCCTTTAATACAGGCATCTCTAAAGAGATTTTTCTTTCGAGTTGGTTTGGTTTGGAATGCTAGGAATTGACCAAATATTCAAAAACTATCTTCAGTTTGACTAAAAAAATGATTTCAAAACTCACCTTTTTTAACTGATGGATGTCCAACAGAAGGTTCAATAACCACTTTATTAAGAGATTTTCCGTGAACCTTGAAAAATCTTGCTCTGATTCGGTGACATTTGATCCAATTTCTTCTTAAATTTGCACATTCTCATATGACAGACTTATTATACTTTTTATCATCTTAAGTTTTATCATCTGCTAAAGATAGTAATTTTGCTACTTCTATACATACAAATTTGTATCAATTATTCCAATTTGTGAAATTTTGATCGTTTGTGAGTATAAAAGATCAAAACTGTGTCGCCTTGTAATCATTTTGACAGTATTACATAGACCAATATGCTAAAATTGCCGTCATAACAATATCCTTTGTTTTACTAATTATACGCTCACAGCCTACTTTACTTAAAATGAGTAGTCGGCACGTAATCAAGAAAGTATGGGCTAGATTTTTCAAGTACCTATTACAGGCAAGCATCTAAAAATTAATTTCGGATGATGAGGGGGTTCCAAAAATTTTAATATCCATTTCGGGGGTAGGGTGGTTTTGGGTGCCGGATTTTTTTTTCTCCTTCTATTTTTGGATTGGAGCAACTAAAAGATTTGAAATTTAGCGTAATGTAATGTGTTTAAAAATAATATGTTTAAATGCTTAAATTTTTAAAATCGGTTCATTATTTCAGTACATATCATTGTTTCAATTTACGTGCGGATATTTTAATAAGTTAAGCCGCCATCTTGAAATTTTAAACTGTCATATTTAGACTAAAACGTAATATTTTTAAACATATTGCCTTACTTCAAATCTCCATGTTGTTCCATTAAAAAGATAAAAAAGGAGTGGGGACATTGTATATTATCTAAGCCTCGATCTAAGCATTAATTCAGTTAAAACCCACAAAATTTGTAGATTTGAGGTGGGGTGGGACTGAAGGGTCTAGGATACTTGGACCCCCTAGCTATGTGCTTGATTACAGGCGATTCATGAGTATGAGATTTTATTAAAATTACACGAACTTAATCTAAATAAATCATAAAGACCTATAGTATCTATTACTCAAAATACCAGGGATATACTTACATTCAAAAATATTTTTTTTAAAGTTGCGCAAAGTTGCGCAAGATGGTAACAAATACATGAGGGGTAATGTCCAATCTTTCAAAAAACATCAGCCAGTAAATTGGGCAACTTTGGGCACTCAACAAAACTCAAGGTTAAATAGCATATTTTATTTTTTATATTATACTAATTTATTAATTAATTTAGTATGCATCGGTGAAATTTTTTTTTTCAATATATAGCTAGAAATAGTCAAGTAGTATTGTACTTGTATAAAAAACGCAAAAAATTAATTGTATTTAAAAATTAACCAAGAAATTTTACTTATTATTCTGGCCCTACAAATTGCAATTATTATACACGGCTGAACTAAACCTTCGACATTACTGCCCTTCACTGGTTACAGATCTGAATCCAAAATTTTTTTCTGTGCATAATATAATATTAGGTCTTTTCTGTTTATTCTATGGTCATCAAAACTTTTTGAAAAAGCAACTTCTGTTTTA